CCCCCCCCATTTCCCCCCAAATTCCCTGTCTAAGACGGAATTTGTTTCTAGCTCCCTTGCGATTCCGTCTTACAGTACTTACACAGGTTTGACTGTAATTACACTTTGTATTACAACCCCAGGCGCCCGCAACACCTGAATTGCAATGTTAACCATGTATAACATCAAGAGAGACGTAAGATACACTCCCAAACAATGTGTACTTGTGAACACCACAAAGTTAGAATTTATATATATATTCATTCCTGCTCACGTAACAATAATTTATAACCATGTGTATACGACATATAATTAATATAAATATATCACGGTTTTTGCCTTTCTGCTTTCAGATGTTCCACCTGTCTCCTGCTCGCAGAAAGGTCGCCATCACAACAGCGGCCATAGTGTTTATCCTTATGACCATGACGCTCTACCGCTGGGGCTACCAGAACGAGAAGAAAACTATGGAGGATGCGTACATGGCGATGTCGTGGGAGGGTTTTGGGCCCGAGCGAGGTTAGTTGAAGGCCCAATTTATAAGAGCCTAATAACAGAGAACCCCCCCCCCCCCCCCCCCCCCCCGTGTGTTGTTTTCGCGCGGTCTCGTTTTTTCTGTCTCAAGAAAAAAAAAAAGGGGGGGGGGGGCATTAGCATCTGGAGTGCTTATGCACAGTAGAATTGTAATTGTAAATAGGCTGATTCATCAATGTCACACTCATAACTTCCTGAACTGCAACAGAGAACTGCTGCTTTTTCTTTCCTAATCCTTACTATCGTCATTTTCCTCTACTTCGTGTGTGTCACACTCTTGTGACCCGCTATTTCCGGGGTGCCTTGATAGTGGAAGCAGACTTTGTGCTGTTGAAGCTAGAGAGGTGAGCAGAGTAAGTCTGATTCTCTGTTAGGGTTTCTCTGTTGCCATCCACCCCTTGGCGCTCATATGACCTTATACAGTTGCGAGCGCCGTAAACCCTCTACTGAAACATACTATTTGCAGACTTTACCACATTTCCAGTCTGTTAGACCTTTCACAATAATTCCATGCCGGTTTTACAAGAACATATCTACAGTTAAATAATCTTTACCACGTTTCAGGCCTGTACAACAATGGTTTAAAAAATTCTTCCCCTTTGTTCGTCGTGTTTACAAGTACCCATGTATAGATTAAATTTTTGCCACAGTAACACAATGGTTAAAACCTTCACAACCATTTGCTACTTTTACAAGATCCTAGTCGTGGCGTCGGTAGCCTGGTGGATAAGCTGTACTGGACTCACAATCGTGAGATTGTGGGTTCACGGGTTCGAGCCTCAGCTCGTTCCGACGTTGTGTCCTTGGGAAAAGCACTTACTCGAATTTTCCGTTTTGCTCGGTCCTTTCTAAGATGGGCGTTAAACTTGGACGCCCCGCCTCTTAAATAACCTAAAAGTGTTGACAGTGGCGTGAAGTTAAACCTATACATGTGGGTGGATGGTGGGTGCTCCTGTGTAGCTTTCTCCTTTCTTTCTTATAAAAAATCTATCGCCTCTATCTCCCCTCCTTTTTTGTGTTTGTTACTCTCTTCTAACACCTCTAATCTTCGGCACTTATATGACCTTATTGTGTTGCAAGTGCCGTAAAATTCTTACTAAAACTAAAAACTATCTCCCCTTCTTCTTTTTTGTGTTTGTTACTCTCTTGTAACACCTCTAATCTTCCGCATTTATATGACCTTATTGTGTTGCAAATGCCATAAAACCTCTACTAAAACTAAAAACCCATCCCCATGTACAAGAAGCTATTTATACATTGTATATATATATAGTGTATA